GTCTGTTGCGGGAAGATTCGGTCAATACTTTCTGTTAACTGGTTTGTAAACGAGATTGCCAAGCTATCAACAGTAGGGTTGGGTTCAAGGTCACAAAACCAATTATGTGTGGTAACCCATCTTCCGAAAGCATCTATTCCTGATCTGGGATAGCGCCGTACTAAGGATTTAACAGGTTTTGCTTGGATGTTGTGGCTGGGAATGCTATCGACTGAAGGTAGCCAGTGTACAATATTATGGTCACTGGATCCTAATGGAGCAAGGACATTTGGGCGTTCATATAAATTATACAGGTTTGTAAGAATAAGATCGAGTATTGCTGATTCTCTAGTGGGTTGGTCAACAACTTGTTTAAGATTTTGACTGGTGGTCAAACTGCGAGTTTCAAGATCATTAAAATCACCCATAATTACTAGACCAAGATCAGGGTGGTTATTTCGAAGTAGATCAATAGTGTTAATTAAATGTTCATTAAGATCACTGTGTTCCGATATTGTCAGACCAGGTGGGTGATACACGGCACAGATAACGATACCGGATAGAGGTCTAGGGAGGCGTTTCGGAATGACCCATTCTTACTTTCTAGGTCTACCCGTCGTATACAGGGGATGTCTTTTTTAATATAAGCACAAACTCCGCCACCTCGTCCAATTGCGCGATCTTTACGGAATAACTGAATTGTAATCGTTAATTGACAATAAGCTGCTGTCTATGTGTTCGTGTAACCATGATTCAGTTATTGCGATAATGTCAATGGGCTTGAAACTTGGTAATGCTGTCAATTCTTCCAGCTTTGGAAGGAGTGAGCGGGAATTAAGTAAAAAGAAACATGGGAGTATCATTTCTTTGTTAACCTTATAAGCATGGTTTAAAGTTGTAATATGGATTAGGTTGGAGGAGGGAAAATAGCAATTCTTGCGCTTCTTGTGCTGTTTAAACGTTCTAGAACGATCTGTAATATGAACGGAGATGTTCGTTCTATTTTTGGTTTCATTTGGTGTCGATATTTTATGTAAGGTTAAAGAGGACTGTGGACTTATTCCATCCGGGATGTATAGGAAAGAGGTTTCGCTATTCAAAAAACGAGGGGTCACATTGGTATAGTCAATAATCTCAGTTGGGTAAAAGTTTAGGTCATTATCGTCATTATCGCTAATTTGTACAGGGTCACCATTATCACGGACAATTTCCGCGTGGAATAAGTGACTTCGACTATCGTCCTGCAGTTCAACAATTTGTCAACAAGTTGCGAGTGACAACATTGTAACAACTTGATAAAAATTGATGATAACATTGTTACAACTTGACAAGCCAATTTCTACAAGCCTGTTGCAAACACATCTTGTTGACAAGTTGTGAGATTTTTACATGTGTATATGAGGTGAAAGGCGCTTGCTCTGCAGGACGACTGCGTCACCGAAAATGAAGGTAATGTATTGTACACTAGCAGAACTTGGGATAGATAGATAGATAGATAGATAGATATTTACAGTCTTGTGACTAAATTACTATTGAATTTACAGAGTGAAAATATACGAATAGTATATATATTTATAAATATATATATGTACCTATATATATATGTTTACATATCCTGTTTATTACTGTACATATTGTGTTGTCTCAAGTAAAAAGTCTAAAATCTAAATGTAAATGTATGTTCATAACTATTTAAAATATTAACGATCTGAAATTACCTACAAGGTTGCATTACGTGCGCAATATGGAATAAAGGAATTACTAAATCTGTTCGTGTGCGTCTTGGGAAGATTATATTTTCTGTTTGTTCTGAGATTGTTTGGTTGTAAATTTTTCGGTGGCAATAGTTCTTTTAACTTATGATCATCATTTGCTTCGATTGATGAAAATAGTTTTACATACAACTCTTCTCTTCGATCGTACAATGTTTCCAATTTTGCCTTTTTTAATGCTTCGATGTAACTCAAGTCCGGGTGGATAATCCGTAGTGCCCGCTTCTGAATACTTTCAATTTCCATTGATAGGTAGTTAGGGAGACTCGAGTGGAAGACTTGGCAAGCATACTCAACGACAGATCTTATACACGCGGTATAAAACTTGTATAAGGATCTAGTTTCCACTTCAGCACGTTTTAATTGCCTTAATAAATAAAGTCTCTTAGAAGCCTTTTCCACGGTATTGCTTAGATGTTTGTTCCATTTCAAATTACTGGTATAACTATCATGCCCAGAACTTTTGCGGATTTTACAATTTCAAATGGCTTCCCGTTTTTTCAGCCAAATTGCATTGGATCCATCTTTCTTAGTAGTTTAGATTTTAACTCATACTCGATTATGAGGTTTTCTGCAATTTTTGCCAATGTTGAAGTTAAGGATATTGGCCTCAAGTCCTTGTTAAAATCGGTAATGTTTTTGGCTTTAGGAACAGGTGGCACATTTGCTATTTTCCATACCCTCGGCACCTTGCATTCACGGAAGGATGCGTTAAATATATCAGTAATTGCAGGATATATATCAGTAATGTCAGAAAAGCTCTTTCGAACCCAATTGAGGAGTTCATCAGGACCGCTAGCTTTGGAAGCACTGATTGCGCGTAGTAGCCGCTCCACTGTTGTTTCTGAGACGCTAATTGTTCATCATTGTCAGTCGATAGGTTAAAATCTTCAGGCAGCAGGGGGAAATCTTTCATGACACTGATAAAGGCCTCGTTAATCCTATTTCCTAAACCTTTATCACTGTCCTCAACGTCAAATCTAATCATGGATCTGAGGACTGGCCGTGTTGATTGCTGACCACTGAGCTGTTTTACCTCTCGCTACCAGTCTTTATGTTTCGAATCCAGAAGGTTGCTAACTTTTTTCTTATAGTATACTTTACGACAACGTTTTCTTTCCCGACTTACTTTGTTTCGCAGCAATTTAAACATGAAATTGTTACTTAAGGCAAATGCTTTTTGTGTTTGTAAAATAAGGCGTTTCAAATGGCTAGTCATCCACGGACGATCATTTGGACTTACTCAGTTAATTGATCTTTCTGGCATTATGGTATTTAAACCATAATTTATTACTTCTGTAAATGTTGTTAGTTTGTCATCAGAAGATCGCAGAGATGACAATATATTTTCCCACGGGATATTTAAAAGGAAACGGCCAAGGCTTGCAACATTGCTTGGTCTTTTTTCCCGTACTTTTATAGTCGTTTTTGGGGTCGTAAATTGACACGTTTCGCTGGAATCATAGTGATCGTGACATGGTCAGATAAGCCAAACGGTGTACCACTTTCTGCTGGATTACAAAAGTTTTTAAGATTGGTAAAAATCTGATCAAGAGTATTAATTCGTCGAGTAGGGAAATTTATAGCAGGTTTTAAGTTAAAACGTTTCGCAGTTGATCAGTTAAAGTCGAGTTGGTTAAAATCACCAGCCAGAACTATGCCACTATTTGGATAATGTGTTTCAATTATTTCCAGTGATGATTTAAGGTGTTCTTTCATTGCTGTGTTATTCGCCCCTGGAGGGTGATAAAGCACACCTGCAATAATATTTGAAAAACCTCGAGGTAAACGTTTAGGTCGTAGTATACACCACAGAACTTCATAATCCTCCTTTTGTTGTACGTACAAAGTTTTACTCTCAATAGTGTTCTTCACATATGACGGCACACACCGCCATGCTGCCTATTTTTGCGATCTAATCTAAATAGTTGATAACCAGAAATAGCAATTGGGTCCTCTGCGATTGAATCTTTCAACCATGTTTCAGTAAAGAAGCCTACTTGAATATCTTTCTGTTGTATAGTAAACGCTATTTCATCAATTTTTGAGGCCAGTGACATTGAGTTCGAGAGTAATACTGTTGGAACAAATTGAGAATTATCGTTGGGTTTCACTTGACTTTTATTCGTATTTGTTGTATGTTTGGTGAGTGGAACAGTTATTAAATTTCTAAATGTGCGTAGGGGGAGGTCGCGTGACTCAATAAACGGGGGGTCGTAGGTGGAAGGGCAGTGGCGTAGCCAGTCTGACTATTTACTCCTGCTATGCAAATATTCCTGTGTTCATAGACTGTAAAAACAATGAATTTCTAAAGAAATGAATAATGATAATGCTTTGAAATTTACATAGCAGGACTAAATTTTCAGGCTGGCTACGCTACTGTGGAGGGGGTAGGTTGGTTGCTGTACTACACGAGGTGAATATATTGGGATATCCATTAAGGGTTTTGGCCACGGGTAGGTTGACCATGGTATCATGGGGTAGTTTGGGGGGCCTTGCCAGTTGCAATTTGGGGTCATTTTCCTTTGCTGGTAGGATAAAAAAGGACTAGGATATTTCATGTTAGGCCTTTGAGTCGACGGAATATTTGAGGTATCACTATGTGAAAAATCGCATTGGTCTCCTTTCAAGCAAAACCCTCTCCTTTGCCAGGGGCAACGTATTCTGTATTTAGGCATATTATCCCATGGCTTTTTTGGGTGCAGATGTTGTGGGTGTTTAAAATCACAGTTTTGCTTCTTAATACACCAGCCCCGCCGCAAGAGAAAAGGGCAAGGAATAGTGCTTTTAGGAATCTGCTCATTAGACGGCTGTGTTTGCAATCTTGAAATAGGTATTCTATTTCTATGTGCATGCATTAATAATTCCTTGTTGTTTACTCGGGGGTGCATCTTTGGTGTATGCTCAATAAGGGGATCTACAATTACAGTGGCGTTTATCAAATTATCATGTTGATCTTCACCATTGGACAAAGGAATTTCTGTCAATAATAGTTGAGCTTAACTGATTCTTATTCATAATAGTAGGTAACTCGTTGGTAGAACCAAATGAATCATCCATTGTGTTGAATACATTATTATCTTGGCTAGGGTCTTTGTTCTTAGAGTTGTTAGGAATTTCATTAGATACATTAATTAATCCACGACCTTTGTTCGCAAGGTCGTTTTGGGCTCCACCGGCTCAAGGGATAATAATTTTGTCTTAATGTATTGAATTTCCTCATTGAGTTTGCAGATTACTTCGTCTTTTTTATTTATATATAATGGCCTCCATGTCCTTCTGTTTAGCGCGAAGTGAGTTAATATCGTCAGACTTAGACTCTTGTTGGGAAATTGAAGCAAATAAACGGGACTCTAAAATCGTCATATCGAGTTTTACACCCTCGAGTTCAGCGACTATATTACTGTTAACACAAGTATAAGGACATGTGCATACCTTAGATACCGAAACACCGTTGCCTGCGCCAGCTGCCACGTCGCTCCCAACTGGATTCGCCAAACTCGCAAATTTCCGCTTCAAGTAGTGTTCTTTATCAGTTTGAATCACAAGCTTTTTAGAGTGACCGTACCATTTGATAGCATATCCAGAATCTGCGGCATTAAAGAGCTTGACATCACCGCCAGGGGAACTCCAATTCCCTTTAAGTCCCAAAGTTTCATCGACAAAGTGCTTTAAGTCGGATAATAAACCATTAAACCGATATATAAATTCCACCATCAACAAACAGTTTAGTTGTCGTGCTCATATTTATGAAAAAATTTGTTAACTTCAGAGCGATTCTACGGAGAAATCGAGGAGCTCAAAACCATACGTCTGCTCGCTTAAACTATGTCTTTTTATGTCAATGTAAGCATTCGTCATTATAACACTCGTGGGATCCAAACAACCTGACGTATCATAGCATGGTCGTTCTGTTTGTACTTTAGAAAATATATATGTGTACCCGGTGAAGTTACTCATACTTTAAGACAAAATAACGCATGCATATTCATAACCTGTCAGAAAAATATGGCGCAAAATTTTAGGCACAAGAGTTTCCACTGAGAGTTTCCACACAATTTTGAAAAACTACGCTTAACAAATGTATAAAGGCTTGCGTCAAGATCTTAGTCACTGTGCTTAACATGTCGTCACATGTTCATGCTTCTGAAATCCAACTAGCAAATTCCAAATGCATTCACGTCAACTTAATCTTTTTCGTTTATTTGATCATGATATATAAAAGTAAAAATCCCTAAAATACCTCTCTTGTTCTCTTTGCACTTTGTACCAGCGTGAACCCAATTCAACGCTACAGGATTCATTTGTTGCTGGCGAAAGCATCTTGAAGTTTGACTTATTACGCAGTCGCCTAAAATTCCTTTAACTGTTTCAAACACGGCCTTCTTGACTTCACTGATTTGCGTGGATTAACGTCCACATATAAGGATAGAACGTCCGAACGTATAAAATTTTCCTCGACCAAAGCAAATCATTGCTGTGGTATCGTCTTATTGCATACGAAGCCAACCGAAGCATGCAGCTAATTCGCGCGATTGAATTTGAATTTGGTGCGCTTGGTTGGATTTTGTGTGAATTTGTTAGTCTGAATATACAAATATTGGAGGTGTAGTATTCCCATACATCTTGCTTGACTGCAGCTTTCTGCAGCTAGGCACCGGTCGGATAATACTCCTATATTTAGGAACCATTTTGCGCAAAAAATAACAATACGGTCGCGATTGCCAGAAATTCAACTAGATCAGTTGTAAAGATTTTTGCGCTTTTCCATTTAAAGGCAACAAATCACCTGACTCTTCAACAGTCCCTCATTCGTACGCGCGGTCGCGTAATTTGAGCAGCGCTGATTTGAGGGACTGTGAAATCGTGACTCGAAAACTTGCAAAAACACTCGAAAACTTGCAAATGTGCTCGAAAACCTAAAAGTTAGTCGAATATGGAAGAAATCGTGGATGTTTTGGACGGTAGCGGTGCTTTGCTGTACATGGGAAGTGTTTTGTCTGAATCGTGCGAGGAATTAGAGATATTAATGGAATATTTATCTCTTGAAGACGATGATGGTGAGTGTTGACATTTTATTGCAATATGCCTTTGACCCTTCGACTGTAAAAATATATTATATAGGCGAGATTTTGATTAGGTTTTCGTGTTTTATACTGTTTCATAAAAGTGATTGTACCTTTACAAGTTACAACTTCGTAAAAGCTGGGTAAATGCTCTATAATACGGATTATTTTTATTTAATTCTGCAGAATAATTTCCACGCGCTATTTTATATAAATATATACGCCAATTAACATGTCAACAAATATAAAGTCAACAAGAAGTCCTGCTCAGGGGAAACATGAACTGAACCGCCCTCGTCTAACCGTTTTGCCAAAAACGAATATATTTTATGTTGGTTTTAAGAGTTAAGTTACTCTTTGGGCCATTCCATTTAATATACACACCCCCCTATGTACGAGGCCAATAAATTTTGAACCCCTAAGAAGAAAAGATCAAAGTGCCGACACAAACACAACCCCAGAAATTAAGAAATTTTTGCCTTACCCCTCAGAAAAAACGCAAAGATCAAAGGATGCCGATGCACACAACCCCTCAGAAACGGCTTTTTTAACCCCCCTCGGAAATTCTCGTCCATAGGGGGGTGTGTATATTAAATGGAATGGCCCTTTGTTTTTGCCAAATGTGTAAGACTTTTCACTTGTGTGAAATATGCATGCTGAATAATAATTTTTTTAATGGAAATTATTTAGCCAATGGGGATCTCAGGTTCTAGCTCCTTGGTTAATTGTCGGCATTTGAGGTTTAGGAGTTCTGAACAGGCCTCCATGTTATGGATTTATTTTAACCTCTGTGTTTTACCTAGACCCCCCCCCCCCCTCTCAGGTTTAGCATTACCACTTCATCACCAGTAAATAGGGTTGGGCAATATTTTGATATTATCAATGATACACGATGATTGTATGTACTCAATATCATGATGGAGTTATCGTCAGGGCTGAACTAACAAAGCTTAATAATATAAAATCTTAAAAAAACTATGTTAATCCATCCCTGAATTGGAAACCGAAATTTCATACAGTGTGTAGGTAACAATTGCAAGTGGAATTAATAGTTGAAAGAACCTATTTTCCCTCATGCATATATAACTTGATGTGTTACGAGGGTAGCTAAACTAACAATAACGAGGAGCCAAGCATGTCAATTTCTTTTAGAAACAAAGTTGTCTATGAGGTCATAAAGACCCAATACTTTATTATTTTGTTTGATCATTGCCAAGGTACATGTACCTTTATAAAGCATTCTTTAACAAAATGTTTATTAATCTGTTCCTAATAAAAACTCAAATATTCGAGAAATCAATAAATACTTTATTTTCCAAAATTAAAATTAATGTTACAATTGTTAAACACGGGATTAACAACCCTTTCATTTTGATTACACACCACTTTAAAACTGTTTAAACCCAACAAACTTGCTCAACTAAAATTCTAAAGACGCTTCATTCATCTCCGCCAGCGATGTAGTTAATGTCTGGATTGGGCCAATATCATCAGTTTCATGACCAGCGTCGTCGATCTTCACTTCTTTAACCTTCTAGCAGCTCTCCAGGAATAAAAAATCGTCAAAGCCCACTTTGTCACGTATCTTGTACTTGGCGGCATCGCTCTTTCGAGCAACGTTTGCTCCTCTTCAGCACTTCGAGCGCTTCGAAACCGACTCATTAACAAAACAAGTCAAATATGTTCAAATTTTCATTTGAAAAATCCGTTTAACGACTTGTATGACTTGACAATTAATCTAGTCATTAATTTGCGAGTTGCTGATCAATGAAGGGAAGAATCGTAAAACAATAGAACTATTGTAGTTAGCATTTCTTATTATTTCATTGGGACCCAAAACAAAAGGTGAATTTTAGAAGTCATTTATAAACCTCGTGATTGGGCTTTATCGGTGTCTATAGCCGCTCGCCTTCGGCTCGCGTCTATATGGACCGATAAAGCCCTCTCACTCGGTTTATAAATAGTACATATATATATATATATATATATATATATATATATATATATATATATATATATATATATATATATATATATATATATAAAGATTGTGTCAAAAATGCCGAAAACCAAGACCCAGATGCTCAAAATTACAAACATTTCATGGGAGTGGCCACAGGGCCACCTACTATACGGTCTTCCACATTTCCACTTCACAACCTCCTAGTTAGGCACACTAAATTTCCTCAATCGCCTCTCCACTGACCCATGTATATTTGATTTCAACTCTACACAAAATTTTGAGATGAATCGGGCAAGAAAATGAACAAAATGAATCCTTACTAGCTATCGTACATGCTGGTAAAGAAATCCATCGATTTGTTTCAGAACCTGCGATAGCTGAAAAACTTCGAAACGTGGTGAGAGTACGATATCTGGAGCCAAATCGTGATATAACCGATGTCGTTTTATATAACACTGTTGTTGAGTTTCAGCGACTTATATTTGTTGCAAAAACGTTTTCAAGAGTTTGAAGAAGGTGAAGTGCATTATATATGTCCCAACGAAGGTGTGCGCCAAGGACGTGGTAGAGCATATTCCTCTCTTCGACGCCTTAAAGTTTTTTTTCCGAAACACCAAACATTTAGAAATAGATATTCACGAAAAACGACCTTCCAACTGTTGTTTTGGAATAAAATGCTTTGGTCTACAACACCCTTGTCGCAAACCTTCGTTGGGACATGTATAATGCCCTTCATCTTCTTCAAACACTTGAACACGTTTTTCCTATCGAGATATAAATTTTTGAAACTCAACAACAGTGCTATAAACGGTTATATGACGGTTTGACTACAACGTCCGGATGTCGATAAGCTATCTCAGGTTCTGAAACAAATTTATTTTGATGGATTTCTTGATAAAGCCCCATACAAGCGTATACAATTGCTAGTAAGGATTCATTTTGTTAATTTTCTTGACCGATTCTTGTCAAAATTTCCGCCAAGGTTGTTCGTGGGAGGAATATCATGAAGTAGTGCTATTTGATTTTCAAATTGTCCGCTGACCGTTTGCGGGCGTCATTGAAGTCTTATATTTTTTAAACAGAAGTATTATAATTTTAAAAGAGAAGTACTTTATTTTTGAAATCGAAGTATTATATTTTTCAAACAGAAGTCCTGGTATATTTTCGAAATAGAGCTTGGTATATTTTAGAAACAGAAGTTGTATATAAGTTTATGTATATCTCGCAAAGAAGTTCTACATTTCTCCACAAGTCATATATTTATATCCGCGATACATGATTGTATCTTAAAAGAAGCCGTATATAACAAAGAAGTATTTTTACAGATTTGCACGCCATAGAATATTATACAAATAATGAATGTTTATGAGTGCAATGGTAAGAATATTTTCATGAGATGAAAGATGGAATGTTCCATTCAACGAGGCGACAGTCGAGTTGAATGGAACATTCCATCTTTCACCGAATGAAAATATTCTTACCATTGCACGAATAAAAACGTTCATTATTTGTTTTATATAATACCAAAATAGACTAATATTGAACAGTTTATTAAAACACCATTTAATATTAAAATAAATAGACACATTTTGACGGATGCGATTCATCGAAAACACCAAGAGTGAATGGAATAAAACGTATAGTACAATTGCACTCGCAAAGAGTGCAAAGGAACGTATTCCATTGCA